ATCAATATGAGGGACTCTGTATTCGGCATTTCAGACAGAGCACACTGCACTTCCTCAAGGAAGGTCTCATCTTCTCCTTTCAAATTGACGCATAGTGGTGTACCAAGCTCATCGCTCTAACCTTTTGTAGCTTCAGTCGGAGGATTACCACCCTTCGGCTGACAGGCTTCCAATCAATAATTCTATTGGCAAGGTTGTGTTCTACCAGAACACGAACACCGGCCTGAGCACGAGTCGTGATATCGACGCCTGAGTAGAATAGCTTCCATCCGTTGAGGTTCACGAGGCGTTTCATTGACGAAAGTCCAACAGTGTCGGGTTGGTGCATTCTGGCCTCATCAACAAACTCTTGTTCTTTTCCTCTGAGTGAGGATATGTTCCTGTTTCCGACTTTAAGCTCCCACTGGTGGTGTCATTCTCGTGGAGCCTTTTCTGACGTACTATAGTGGCATCGCGCAGTCTGCCTCCTCCGTTCAGAGCGGGTGGCGACTCCGTTGCTGACTGATATCTTCGTCATCGTTGCGTCGGTCTTCGTCAGCCGTCGCTATGTGCCACGCCCCCGGCTGGCAGAGGGCAATGAGCAGGTTCTGATCGCTGACTTTTCGCAGTCTGCCTCAGTTTTCCAGCAGCCTGCTCGGCTCTTTGTAACCTGGGCGACGACCGAGCCGGTGTAATTTTCGGTTGCGTCAGTATCATAAGTTGCATGTGGCTAAATTTTACTGAGGCTTGCTACGGTCTTGCCTCCTCCTTTCTCAGCCGCGCTTCGGACCGGCAACGGCGGATTTGACTTTAGCCAGTTATCTTCTATAATAAGGCTAAGGTTTTTTCCTAATCTGTCCTAGTCTGTTGAATTTATTCTCGTGTTACGCACAGTCTCTCTCTCTCTCTCTCGCAGTTATATGACATTCGTTATGTCTTTTTTGTTTTACTTCGCCATTGTTTTCAGTCTCACGTTAGAAAAACTGTCTCAATTCCATGCGTATTGCAATGGGATTGAGTTTTGCAACGAACGGAACCGTACAGTCGTTGTATTCATCCACTACCGTGAACTGTTTTGCAGTTGTTTATATAAACCAACTGTTTTACATCAACAGGAACTGACCCTTTTATGCCATCCTTCTACTTTTGTCCATTTTGATAAATCCAGTCGCGGTAGGAGATGTCTACATGAGCATCTGATTGTTTGTTCCGATATTATCGCGCATGTTGAATAATCCATTCATAAAACGCGCGTTTGCCTACTGTTTGGCCGGCCCTTCTTTCCGATTGTTTGTACGGAATGTAACAGTTGTTTTACGATACTCTAACACGTCGTACATAAGTTGAAATGCCAAAGGTAACTGGTCTTTGCAATATAGCAGTATTTAATTGAAAGGAAACGGGTACTGATGGACTTTTTTAGCACATGATATTCCGTTTTCTATCGGAAATATGAGAT